AAGTTTTCTATTTATGTATAGCTTATAAAATCATTGAAGAAGGATCTGTTTATTTAGGATATTTTCTGATATTGTGGAAATGTGTCAACAAATATTAAGTTTATCAGCAAAGTTTACCAAGTATTAAATTATTGTTTATCAATTAAAAAGTTTAGCAAATATTAAATTTATTGTTTATCAATAAAAAGTTTAGCAAATATTAAATTTATTGTTTATCAAATAAAAATAAAATTAAAAATATTTTCTCTTCTTTATAACATTTATATTAAACAGCACGATTATAATCATTTCTTACGATTTGTTAAATTCAGTGCTTTCATTAGTATTTTTAAATAAAACGCTTGAAAGCAAAACATATTTTTAGAAGTTNATTAAAATTATCTCCAAAGTTTACCAAGTATTAAATTTATTGTTTATCAATTAAAAAGTTTGGCAAGTATTAAATTTATTGTTTATCAATTAAAAAGTTTAGCAAATATTAAATTTATTGTTTATCAAATAAAAATAAAATAAAAAATATTTTCTCTTCTCTATAACATTTATATTAAACAGCACGATTATAATAATTTCTTACGATTTGTTAAATTCAGTGCTTTCATTAGTATTTTTAAATAAAACGCTTGAAAGCAAAACATATTTTTAGAAGTTCATGCGATCAAAATAAAGATCAACCGTTTTCAGTTTCATTTGGTATGGATGCTGTTGCTCGATGCCAATTCATATGAGTGTCAAAACTTTCCACAATCAAGTAATTTTCTTTGGCGAATATTTTTCCGGTGGGCCGTGAAGACTTTACTGCCAGAGTACCATAGTAAATATCTCAACACCTTTTTTTTAAAAAAAAAAATTATGGGAAAACAAAACAACCTTGTAATTTCAGATATAAGTCAGAATGCAGGTAGATGACTAAATTATGGACAAAAAATTTTTTATAAGTTGAAAACTATATCAGATATGTTTTTTGTGTGGCAATTTTGTAAAATCTGTCCACACTAGTCCCTCTCCCCTAATAATGTTTATTTTTCTTAAAAGAAGAATTACGGCTGAGATAGCCTGCTTGGCATGGCGCTGGACTCACGTTGTTCGAATCTAGCCAGCTGGAGACTCCCAGAGCAGTAAATGCTGACTGGTGCAATTTAAATATGATGAGTCACAAAGTCCTCTATGTTCCCATAATAAATCAATACCTCTGGGGATACTGAAGTGGAGATTGATCGTTCTCTTGTTCATTTCAAAATTACAATCTCTAGATGAACGGATGTATGAATGGGACCGCCCTATAAACGGGTGCGACGTATGGGTGTAACAGAAGTCGAATTCTTGGCTATAAATAGCACCACTGGAAAACAAGAACAATCGCACCCCCTCTGCCTTAATGGCCGACGACAACAATAACACAAGAATAATGTTTTTTTTTCCTTTTTTTCGTAAATTACTACATATTGTAATCATCTGACAAAAACATAATCTGAAAAAGCATGATAACTATTCTTAATTTTAATATGATAGCAAAGGATTCATATTAAAATAATTTATGAAACTTTTCGTAAAACAATTAGTTTAATTAAGACTTGAGATGCTTATGAAAAATTGCTTTTCAAGAATTCAAAAAAAAACAAAAAAAACACATAATGCTACCAATTAATCAGTTTCATTATTTTAATGCAATTTAATAAAATCCATTAAAAGAAGAACACTTATTGTGACGAAACTGATAGGTAAACGAATTAATGTTATTACTTCATGAGAAACAATTGCATTCATTTGTTAATTACTTCTAAACCAATTTACTTAAAATCAGTTATTAACTGATGATTAAATCTATTCTATAATGCCATCAAAATTGAAATAGATCACTAATTAAATGTATACTTACTTCGACTATTATACCTTACAATTAACTTCTTTTTTAAAAAAAACTCAATCTTCGTTAAATTGTTCAATTTCACGTTATATATTAGCACTTAAATTGCTTCTAATCATAGCAATATCAATCAATAATGATCAATTTAATTGTATACTTAATCCGGTTCGAACAAAAAATGAACAAAGAAAACGAGAACTATCTTGATTATTTTAATATTTTGACGCCATATCTAATGAGGAATAAGTGTCGAGAAAACTGCCCGAAAAATATAATTTATTTTTATGTCGTCCAATATCATGTTTTTGAAAACACATGAAAAATAAACACCATTTTTAAATGTTTCAAATAACATACGGACACTCAAATGTTGATAAAGAAGAAAATTATTTTTATTTTGTTAAAACCAAAGAGTGAATTTACTATTAGAAATTTTTAAACCATTTGAATTCAAACTTTTATATTTTTCAACAAAACTTTCCAAGTTATCTTTTCAAAACGGCTGCCAAAGAAAAGATTAAATCACTACGAATAAATGCTTCACCAGTTCAATTGCACAAATTCATCTTTACTATATTTAAAGTGTGTGCTATACTTTCAGTAGAAAACGTTACTGAAAATAAGAATTATTTATCCATGATAATCTTTTTTGTTGTAAATATTGCAATTTTTCTTTGTGCAATAGCAAATATAGCTTTAACTATTTTCGATTTAAATCATGATTCAAGTGTTGTTGGTAATATTATGGTAATAATGGCAGCAGTTTTATTTCGGATTGCACTTTTATTGAAATTCAAAAAACTAGGAAGCTTCGCCCCCTGCTCGCTGGCGCTCTCCAACCCCCGGAACTGCTTTCGCAGTTCATTTCGGATTGCTTCGCAATCCGATGCTCGCTCATTGAATACGTTCTTATCGTCTAGCTTCTGTATACTTTTTTGAACACTGAAGTTCCGAAAACTTTTCACTGTAGAAAATTCTAAACCTGTGCATTTCAATATTAATTTGAAATTGCAAACAGTTCACATATTTTTCGTAATCACACTATTCTAAATTTCAGTTGTTGAGAAAAGTAACTGTTGTAAGTTTTGTTTTAAAGTCTTTCCCACCAGAGGGCTAAAACCATGTGTTGTAAAACAATATGAAATAGTACTGAACGCCGGATGTAAAGCATCGGCTTCGATGAAGATAATTTTGTGAGAATTTGTTTGGTAATTCGGTGAGAATTCACCCGATTAGACATATGATGCTCACTGCGTGCTCTTGCGCGCCGAAGCCTATCAATTAAAAATGAAAACTGTTGCCAACGCGAGAAAAGAAATATCATCGGTTTTAATGATACATACGTATTAGCGTTTTATATAATAAGATAGATTTCTAGAAATATAATTATGTTATCAGTTCCGAAAAGATTACCAAGACAGTTATATTTGTTTGTAATTTTAAGCATGGTAATAGAATTAGTGTCCCTAGAACGTCTTACACCAATAAACGAAAAAACGAGTTTTGATTACATCCTCTTGCTTAAATACAAAATCAAGAAACCAATTGTAAACATTATCTTCCAGATTCTCTGTACTTCATGTATCAGAATAGGTTTGTTTTTACCTATAACAACTTTTTCATTATTTTACGTGCTGATGTCAGAACAAATTCGTTTAGAACTATAAAAAATCAAAAAGAAATTAACTCAAAAAGATATAAACTATGAATTTTTGCTTAAGACACTCGTATCGACACATTCGTTGGTTGAAATGATTGATAATGAATTATCAAGTTTTGTGTTTCGTTTTTGTGTCATCTGGATTTCTTTCCGCTGTGTCTCTGATATTACATCAAACAATTTCAAAAAATGTATTTTTGTTCTTTTTACTTGCTTTGGATGTATTCATGGTTGGGATTATGATTATTTTTCTCACATAATCAGCATCAATGGTTTCAGAAGCTGCTGAGGATATATGTCGAAATTCAAAATTTCTGCCGAACATTTACAAAAATCCTCACGTGTCTCAGAAAATATTCCAAAAGTGTGCTAAGAGAAGTACTAACTTTACTGTTTGAAAAATTATGCCGATAAAAAGAAGCCTCATTTTAGGTTTTTCAGCAGCTATTTTTACATATGTTTTATTGCTTGAATACTTGGAGAGTCAGTTAGAAGTTAGGCAACAATAATATAGTAAAAATACATACTAATTACAGATTTGCAGGAATAATCTAGCACTAACACAAATGCAAATTCAAAGATGGTTTTGTGAAATATAATAAATATGGGAAATAGTTAAGTATTAAAATTAATGATTTACCTACTAGGACATATTTAATTATTATATTGATCGATAATCTTCAGTGGTCAGTAAATAAAAGTCAGTACATACGAATAAAACGATACAATACCAGTGGCAAAATTCATCGTCTTAAGTTGAACACAAAACGATAGGCAGTGTAACGATAACCGACAAATGGTCAAGGTAAAAGTATTGGAAAGGAAACAAAAGCAACCGTAAATTTAAAGGTAAAATCTAAAAAGTAAAAAAATAAATAAAAAAAAGAGTAAATAGTTTAATATTGAAAAAGGTGTAAACTATTTAAAATGATAAAATGTATAAAATCAGCCAAAGAGCCGTATAAATACATAAAATAATTAATTTGTTAAAACAAGCAAGAATTAAAATCAAACATAATTAAAAGCTGATAGAGTAAACTAGAAAAGTATAAGAAAAGACAGAAAAAAGGTATAAGTGACAAAATATTAGAAACATTGGATAAAAGTAAGCAGTAAAATAGTAAAACCTAGTAAAATAGCCATCAATATGATAAAAACAACAACGGTATAATAAAGGTATGATAAAAAGTAAAAATAATCATAAATTAAGTAATATGTATGAAGTTTAGAAGACTAATAAAAGCGTGAGATTGATAAAACATGAGCAATTTAAAACTAGTCGAAGTAAAGCCAGGTTGAAGTTAACAAAATTTAAATAATTATAAAAAGATTCAGATAAATGAGACAGCAGAACGTGTAGTTTTAATGTCCAATTGGTGTTTATTGAGTCCAGTGTGTGATGATTGTTCCATAATAAAATTCGATTCCATAACAGAATAAGGTTTGACTGTTCCATAATAAAATATATTCATCACATAATAATTTAAAACATAATTTTAATTATTATTTTTGATAGCATTATATAAAGAAACAAAGCATAGCTATTACCAACTAAATTATAAATTATCATAAGAAATAATAATAATAAACAATCATTTTGTAACGCATTTTTCGTTAATTCTGCTTTTCTCTAAACGGAAAATAAAGTAGGTGACTAATACCCTCTGCCAGGTCGAAAAGGGCAATCAGATGAATGCCTAACCACATTCCAACATATCCACCAATGTAACTGAATAATTCAACACTCTAAAAAAATAAATCAAAATTATTAATTAAAGCAAAACAAACATTAATGCAGTTATACCTTAAACTATTAGAAATTGTTCGGAAAATATAACTAAATGAAAATTAATTTAATTGTTGTTTTACTATGTTAAACAAAACCATCAACCATACAAAAGATGGTATTCAAACTACTAACAATAAGAAAAATCGTTTATTAACTGTTTTCAACCACTACGGTTACAAAATTATCAGACTTTTATCAGTCCCAACTAGATTCCCCTAAAAAGAAACTGAATCCATTGCAGCTGGATACATACTTTAGCCGAGAGAGCTATCTGTCATCTGGACGGGGGTTCGGATCCCAGAGTTGACGCAACAATATTTCTTCCTATCTTTCAACGCATGAAGAGTTTCCCGTGTTCCGCACTCCTCAATTGATAATCACGGACTATTGGAATAAGAAACTCTCATTCACGCATAAATGGCAGTACTGCAGAGCAGCTTAACACAAAGATGTCAAGTATTTCTCATTTTTCATAATAGATAACTCCACCAGATAAACTAAGTAAGCCACATACCACCACGGTTCATTTAAGGTTAAGTTCACAGATAACTCAACTACACACAACCTATCTCTAAAATTTATTGCCGTACATAATCTAACTCAAAAGTTCATTGCCTAACATAACCTAATTTCAATGTCCAGTTAAATTTCATTTTTGAGGTTCAGAAACCACGTTAAATGTAAATGATTATAAAATCGTATAGTTTTGAATTCTCGGTATTTTAACCATACCAGTTTTAAAACCTTAAAGGTAAAGAAATATTCCTTACCGTCAACTTTAAGTTAAATAAATTTTAGAAATACAATTCTAGCTGTGTAAAGTAAAAAAAGAGTCCAAGTATAAAATAAATACAGGGTGAGCTTGACTATATCACTGTAATGAAACACAAAAAACGCATTAAAATTTCCGAGCCAAATAATTCAAAATTTAAATACGTCTGAATATATGTTTCAAAATTTATTTTGTTATTCTGCTAGCCCTAATTATATGCTTTTTTTCTTCGGTTTTTGGAAAGAGATAGTGATATTTATTAACACACAGTATAATGGATAAAAATATTAAAGCATTATAAAAAAAAAAAAATTTTAAAGTTTATGCGTACTTTTATGAGAGGTTCATACGTCTTCTTTCTGTACTGGCATTTTCGAAACGTAACCGTCAATTGTATGTTCTTCACTCTATATAAAATATTTCACAGAGAATTTTTATTGAGCATGAAAAATACTTACTATAAATTTTCTGAACAAAAAGACTATTAAAGGTTATTTGAATGCAAGATAACGCACTATATTCATAAAATTTTTTTAAAGCTTTGTCAATATTATAAGAAAAAGGTACAAATTTCCTTTTCATAAGCATTCACTTTAAAATTAAAAATGCGAAACGGTAGATTTCGAAACTAAATATATTTATTTGGAAATATTAGGTGTGGGTAATATAATTTTTTTAGGAATGGGACTTATTTTCATACTTTTTCTACCACTTTTTAAGTCTTTTAAGAATCGTACAAGCCTTTTTGAATACTTAAATAGTACCGTAATCACAATCATAATTTCATACAATGCATGCAATTTCTTTTTTAATTTAATTTTTATGTTATTTTTTTCTTTACTTTCTTGCTACCATAATGTTGCAAATTTCAAAATGTTTTCATGCTATGTTCTTCTTCATGATGTATGGGTTAGAGGGCGCTGCGCGGCCTAGGTACCCAATTTATTTTTAAATAAAGAAAGAAAGAAATAGTATCGTAGTCAGAGATTACTTTAATCCGGTTTTCGGAAATAAAAATAACTTTTTCCCCGGTTGTCTATCAGAGTATTAAGGGGAAATATTTGATTTTTAAAAACAGATGGATATTTCATAATAGAAGATTACGGGGTTATTGGAATTTATATTTTGTTGAAGTGACTGCCCATAAGATATTGTAAACACTGTATAACAATATAAGGTATTTGACTTTTTAAACTTTTAACATTGTAAATTTATGTTTGAAAAGAAAAACAGAAATATAATTTGTTAAATTGACCTCTGTCTAAGTTGGCCTTTATTTGCATAAAGATGAACCATGCAGTTTTTTTAAAAATATTTTCAATTTCTACTCTCTCTTTCTCTCTCTCTCTCTATTTTATGGGCAATCTCTATTTTATTGAGAATCATTAATTAAAAACAAAGATTTCAAATTTTAACTTTGTATTCTCACTGAAAGTTAATAGTCAAAAGATATGAACATGATACATTTCAAAAGTTTTCTAATGAAAGAAATGAGAACCAAAGCAATTATATTTTCCTTCAATTATAAAAGTATACTTTGACTTAGTAAAGCCTTTAGCTAAAATGAAATACTTCAGTGTTGTAATATAACTGTATACTTTTGAAGAGATGCCAACTTGCTCCACTTAGTAGAAGAATATTTTTTAGTGGTAGCGAAATGTCAGTTACTTTTAGATAAATATTTTTCATTACTACATATGAAAAATTTAGAGTATGATATGACATGCAACTTTGTAGCTGTTGTCTCGATGTGGTACTCTTAAAAAGAGGGATAATTATTTTTATTCCACAAGTATTGCTATTTAATTCGCTACCAATTTATTAAAACTTTTACAGAAAGTTTGGCACTGTTATTTATAACTAACAATATAGTAATAATCATAATCAATAAATTAAGGCTTACATTCAGGGTAATAATGGAAAAATATTACTGTACAAACTTTGCTTGCTTATAAAATTTCTTTGTCTCAGCTTATTTATTTTTTGGTAATAAGCATTACGTTGTTTCAAGTATTAATACTTTTTAATATTTAAATTCTTTGAATTTCAGTTTCTTTTACTTTCACGTCAACTCTTTCTGCTTTTTTTATATTCAGTTGATTACTTGCTTTAATTTTAAATAATTTATGGCACTAAATTCGTATTTAGAAATCCGCAGAAATAATTAAAAATTAACATAAGAGGGTTGCTTTTTAATTGCCGTTTGGAAATATAAACAAAGCGAAAAATTTTTTCAATAAGCAAATTTATTTTCAGATTCTACATATGCTTCGGACTCTAAGTATGTTTCTTCTTTCAAGTTTGTTTAAACTCTTATTATACCTTACAACTAGATTTGGAAAACCCTCTTCATTACAAGCTTGCCGCCTGCTCCGTTAACCAAGAGGTCACGGCCGTTTTCACGTCTTCGTCATCGTTGTAGGAATTGCCACCTGCTCCGATAACCAAGAGGTCACGACCGTTTTCACGTCTTCGTCATCGTTGCAGGATCGCAGGGATTGCCTCCTGCTCCGATAACCAAGAGGTCACGACCGTTTTCACGTCTTCGTCATCGTTGCTGGGATTACCGCCTGCTCCGTTAACCAAGAGGTCACGACCGTTTTCACGTCTTCGTCATCGTTGTAGGGATTGCCGCCTGCTCCGATAACCAAGAGGTCACAACCGTTTTCACGTCTTCGTCATCGTTGTAGGGATTGCCGCCTGCTCCGATAACCAAGAGATCACGGCCGTTTTCACGTCTTCGTCATCGTTGTAGGGATTGCCGCCTGCTCCGTTAACTAAGAGGTCACGGTCGTTTTCACGCCTTCGTCATCGTTGAAGGGATTGCCGCCTGCTCCGATAACCAAGAGGTCACGACCGTTTTCACGTCTTCATCATCGTTGTAGGGATTGCCGCCTGCTCCGTTAACCAAGGGGTCACGGCAGTTTTCACGTCTTCGTCATCGTTGCAGGGATTGCCTCCAAAATGATGTTTGAAATGATGAAAATCACTCAGCGCCAGGTTTGGGCTGTAGGGAGGGAGGGTTCAAAACTTCCCAATCAAAAAAGCTCAATAAAGCTGGGATCTGAGATGCGGAGAGAGTTATTGTCATAGCGTAGCAAAATTCCCTGTCAACATGGCAGGAAATTTTGCTATTTCACAAATCTACCAGTGCTATGTATGCAGCAGACATGAATTTTGCCGACTAAACACGCACCACTAACCATATCTCGTGCGTGGCGGGCGACTTGTTTAACACGTTCACGCCGGGGTGACCCACCGGTGGGTCACGCTAGATTCTCTCATTTTGGCTACGCACCGGAGTAAACACTGGCAAGAAATAAATTTCATTTTTTAGTTTTTTTTCGGGAATAATAAAAATCCATAACTACCAATTGTTTTTAACGGATGCAATTTTTATATTGAAATGCTTCTTCGCCGTGATAAATTTCCTTACAGTGAATTGTTATAGATGAGAATAGATTAACTCCTCCCGAATATTATCTAATATTGAAATAGTTCTTCTACCAGTATTTTCACCTTTCCCGGCGTGAACGTGTTAATTTAAATATTTTAAAGACGAAGAACTGACCGGCTCAGTTGTTCCCAAGGATTGCCGGGACGCGACACAAGCACCAGTGCAACGCACAGCGTCACATATTAGTGTACATAACAAAACGGCCCTTACTTAGAAAACAATCTCGTATATACATTTCCTTTAACCCTTTCGGGACGTTTAAGAAATGTCTTCTTGAATGCAAGTACGCATGAGTAAAAGAATTTATATTTTCCGATACATTAGCATACCTTTTAATTTTTAATCGTTTCGAGGATTGTTTTCTCCAAGTGATAAAATGAAAATTAAAAAGATGCTAGCTTGCTCGACTTTGTGAAAAAATATTTTCCAGTGGTTCCAAAATGTAAGTTATTTTTAGCATTACGCATAATACATTAAAATCGGCAGGTATGCATTCACTTTTTAAAGAACAAGGCCATATGTTTCTAAGATATTTTGTTACTATTTTTATGCTTTGATGTTCTTATGTTTGAAATTTAATGTTGTTCTATTATCTAGTATGTTATTGAATGACATGCTGTATTATTCGTGTTATAATATAACAAAATATCTTAAAATCATCTTGAGAGTTCTTTAAAAGGAACTCTGCCTGATAGTTTTTGTAAAATGGGAAAGGTAAAAAAAAAAGTAGGAAAAAGACAAGATATTAAACAAGCTCTTGACATGTACTGGTATGGATAAATTGAAAAAAAAAAGAATCAAATATTGTCGAATTTATATAGATAAAATAATTCCTGCAAGCTTATGTTGTACTTTCAGAATAGTTATTGTAGGGCGACTTATGGGTAAATAATCTATTATCCATGTAAAAACTTCGAATATCAAAAAATCGATTTTGGAAAAAACGATAACATTTAAAAAAAAAAAAAAAAACTTTTTTAAAGAATTGACGTGATAGTAATTTAATAATATGACGATTTCTCTGTTGTCAGATTTCTCATTTTATGTTGTAAATAAGACTTCATCAAAAATTTTAAGTTATTTCTGCGTATTTGCAGAAAAAAATATGACAAAACACGATGCTTTATTCCTTTTTGGTTCCAGAAGTTATAAGTTATGATATATACTTACAAGCAGTTTTCATCTCCACGTTTTCACTGAAATACATTAAACATAAAATCACTTTTCAAGCTATATATATATATATATATATGAGCTAAAATATTGAGAAGATATGGAAAATAATAAAAAATAATGACAGGAGAAGAAAATTATAAAAAATAATTTTTCAAAAGTATTTAAAAAAATATAATTTTTGATATCAAAAAAAAAAAATTTAAAATCCGGAAAACAAAACAAAGAAAAGATATAATCTCCTCATCTGCCCGCACGATTATATCCGTAAAAAGGAGTGCTTTCTAATATTGTATTAATAGTATAGCCAAAGCAAAATATATCAATACAAAAGTGTGAGGAGCACTCAAAAAAATTTAAACGAAATTAGAACACATTAGGTAAAAAATACATACGAAAAAACAAAGAAATATATTAAGCAAAAAACAGAAAATAAAATGTGTAATATAAAATGTAATGAATATAAAATATAATATATATATATTTACGCATTTGGCGTAAAATTTTATTTCTTAATTTAAAGTGGTAGTAAAATGTATGTTTTCCATACATTCCTTGCATTTATGAACTTAATTTATAATTTTTTTGATCTCCACTATTTTAAAAAAAATCAAGAATATATAATAATATGCCATACTATTGGTGGAATCGGCATAAGCTCTTGCAATGTTCAACGTATTTGTCTGGCAACAATTATAATTTAAATTCCATTTACTACCACTGGGGAAAATCATCCTCGAAAGGATTAAAAGTTGGCAGGTATGGTTATATTTGTGTATCTGCCAACTTCTCCGGTATTTGTAGAATACTTTACTAGTAATTAGCAATGACCATACTGTAAAGATTAAAGCTTGCTATTTATAATGGCAAAAAACTTCTTTGCACTCACTATGCCAAATCACACAAAAACAGTAATGTTTCAGTAGAACAGTGTTGTTTAAACAGAAATGTTTCAGGCATGCCAAATTCTCCACTTTTTGTCAATATTTTAATAAATTGGTAGATAATTAAATACTAAAACATGAGGAATAAGGATAATTACTCCCACTCTTTATAAGAGTATCCACGAGATAAAATAACAGTATGCATATCATATGAAACTTCGAACTTTTGATATGTAGTGATGGAAAAACGACTTAAAATGAAAAATACTACATTTAATTGTTAGACCCCTAAATTTTAGATACCTCGCTACCATATCGTAAAAACCTTTTCTAACATCCATAAAAGTTAATAGCTACACGCATGAAATTCTTTCGGTGAATTAAAGATAGGTCACAGTTTTTAAAAATGTGACAAATTCTTGCCCCTCATCACATTTAGAATGGTAGTAAAATAACAACTGACAACTTTGGAAAATTATATTTCATGAACTCTTAACTGTTTCGCCAACTATCTAAACAGTCCTCTCTCTCTCTCTCTCTCTTTCTCTCTCTCTCTTTCTCTCTCTCTCTCTCTCTCTCTCTATATATATATATATATATATATAACTCTCT